GAGGGGTACTTCTAAACCTCTTTCCTAAACTAAGGTGTCTTTGATGGTGCAGGTAGTAAATAAAAGGCATACTTTTTGGTGAATACTGTATACAGGGAGTATTTAGCAATATAAAGGACAGCAATTGTAAAGAAAAGTATTTTCTAATCTAGGTGGGTAACAAACTGGAGAGTGCTCAAAAAGTACTTGATAGGATGTGTTCTGTTGGAGTGTTCCTTTCGTCAGTGCCTGAAATACAATGGCAGGGGAGTAGAAATGCAGTTGCCTTTGACAAATGCAAAATCTGAAAACATGAGTTTGATGGAAACATGTCTTCAGTCATAACTCAATTACAGCAGGTATGGCTGGGATGCAGGGAATTACCCGCTGCATGTGAAGATAAGTGGGAATTAGAATATAAGTATTACAAGTAGTTGGCTGACAAAAGTATCGGCAGTTCCATAACAATTGCTGCAAGACCCTGTGGCCAAAACCTGTAATGTTTTTTTTTCTTATAATGCTTACAAAACTAAGCTGCCAGCTGGCCATTAAGAGTATTGTATGTCCAAGTCCATTTGTGCATTATGTTTCAGTGGGGGCGGATTTCTAGCTGTGTTACTAACTACATTCAGATAATATTTTTCTTTTCACACAACTCCAATATAATTTCATCACGATGGAATTTATTTTCTGAAAGGGATTTGTTGAAAATTCTTCCAGCTGGTTTGAGCTGGACTATATTTGATTCTGATGTTCTGATTCTGGTTTTGAACCAATTTAAGATTAGACTGTGCATGTATTCACTACAAATGCAAAATGTAATCTTGTCTTGTGAGAATACCTAATGTAAATGATGCTCACTGTAACCATATATATATATATAATGTGTGTGTGTGTGTGTGTGTGTGTGTAATCATTTTTACTACTTTTGGGTTAAGTATTTGCGTGGCTGAGTTTTATAAAGTTAAATGGAATTTAAAGATTAAATTATAGCTAACAAGGTGACAAAAGAGAACAGGGGAAAACAAATGAAAACTGCCATGGAAAATGAGAGAGGAGGCGAAGGCCATATTTTGAGTAGAGTTGATATTGAGTAGGCACAAATAACTTCTTTCTTAACCTAAAGTTTTAAGTGAGCAAAAATAAAGAATTTTTTTTATAAAGTTAAATGGAATTTAAAGATTAAATTATAGCTAACAAGGTGACAAAAGAGAACAGGGGAAAACAAATGAAAACTGCCATGGAAAATGAGAGAGGAGGCGAAGGCCATATTTTGAGTAGAGTTGATATTGAGTAGGCACAAATAACTTCTTTCTTAACCTAAAGTTTTAAGTGAGCAAAAATAAAGAATTTTTTTCTGCTTTAAGACTGTATCTGTATTATACCTTGTTTTATTCATATTGTCCATGGCAAAGAAAGGGATATTTTACATTCAGAGAAATTTTTTACATAAATATATTTTGTCTGTAATCAAGCCATTCTCAATAAAGGTGTTACATTGTTAACCCTAGAGTGTAGTGCAGCAGCTGTATTTGTTGACCAGTTTATTAAGCAAAAATGTGTGAAGATTTTTAAAAGAGATTTTTTTAAATGTAATTAGCTGAAACTGCCATTTTGAAACTCTTAAAGAGACATTTACTTCAGCTGTAGGTATGCTGTCATTAGGATTTAGGTTTGTATTCCTTTCACATTTCCCAGACACACCACTCCATCCAACTATACTAGGTAAACAAAAAAGGAAAGCAAATGTGGTTACAATCCAAACTCAAACCATCTATGTAACATTACTATCCACACATAACAGTTGTCTAAGGCATCACACAACCATCGGGTATCCTAGACAAGTGCAACTCTGGTAGATGTCTTTAGCTCACTGGTCCAACCCACACCAATTTCACTGCAATGTTAGAAAGAAACCACAAAAATTGGAACTGCTGCACCAGTTTGGCTGCTGCTTCTAATTCCATCTTGCAATGGAATGCTGGGCTTTTGGAGATTCCTTAAAAGCCTCTGGGTCACTAGCACCATTATTGGGTACTATAGCAGTGCCCCAGTGGTTGCCAACTAGTAAGTCACATCATGTTTGTGGCCAGTATCTTGTTCTAGGTGGTTTGTATTAAATTCTTTATAATACAAACTAACAGACTGAAAAAAATCCCAGTCTCTAGAATTAAATTGTATAAGAAATAAATATGGCCAAATCTCAGTTGAAGGTTGTGGCTTACACAGAGATAACAAGATAGGCAAAAAAGCCTCTCAGATAGTACGTGAGAGAGAGAAGAGAGAACTAGTCCTGCTGCTGACAAGCATTTTAGGCCATTTGTTTTGCCACTGAACTAGGGTACCCTGCTTTCTCATGTTCCTTGGATTAAGAGTTTAATAGGGTTGTGGCTCAGAGAGACAGGAAAGTAAACATGAGCAGACAGACCCAACGCATGGCACAAACATCTTAAAAAAATATTACATTTCTTTCTCTCTGCTGACACCCGCCTTCCCCAATCACTTCACATGATCTGCTCCTGCATGTGATGATGAATTCCACTATCTCATTTGTTATATCCATGGATCATGCAATGGCTGTATTTCAAGTGGGACAGTAACCGGACTGGAGGCTGTTAACTTATTGTAAGTATCCCAAACATGGGAACTTCCACTAATTCCTGTAAGAAAATTCTACCTTTAAATATTTTTCATTGGGAAGTCTTATTCTTTTTCTTATTTTTATTCTATAATATATAGTTTAAGACTCTTGACTCACTTTAAACAATTACTTATCCTTCAAAGTGACACCTTAGGTGTCACTAAACTACTCATTGTTTTTAAAGTTACAGACTGAGTCTTTTTATCCTTTGAAGGTTTTTCAATGATGAAGATTAAATGGATTTTGGGTATAAGACAAGTCAAACCATACACATTGCATTTTAAATCTTTCTTCACAAGACAGACGCCAAGACTTAAAAATGGTTGCCAAAATTAGGCTTTTAAATCCATATTTAGGTACCAAAATAACTTTTCGTTTTGAAAACTTTGGTCAGAACTTTTTCTTTTGTATCTTCCCCTGTAAAACTAGTATGTGGGACATGCACTTCAATTTCTAACCACAAATTTAGATACACCAGTTCTCCAAGGTAGTCGTGCCCAGCTTTATTACATAGGAGAGCCACATAAAGCTAAGCATAACCTTGTGTGGGCCAAACAGATTCTAACATATTTTAATAAAATTTCAGCTGACACTGTGGCTGACAGCCTGGGCCCCTCTCTGGACCTTCTGAATGCTTGGTGTGCTGTGTAGGATTATGTGCCATATGTTAGGCATCCCTGCTCTAAGAAGTCAGATGGTTCAACAGCAATGCTAAAGACACTATCTGCCCAGCGAGATAAATAATCTAAGAGGTACAAGGTTCACAAGTGGAAATATGAAGTGTGGCAACGTGCATATGGAAAGATTCTAGGAATTACACGCTGAAGCCTAAAATGTCGAGTCAGCGTGAAGCAATGGAAAGAGATCTAAACATGGCTTCAGAGCTCTGTTAGAGTATCAGCAGGTTCAATCATTGCTGGATTTCATGGTCTATTACTATCCAGATTTTTAAGTTCTCAGACATTTTGACTTTACGTATTACAACTGTGTGGTGTACAGCTATTGTAAGATATGCATCTATCTTTGCTATGCCAGAGTTCTAGACCATTGTGGTATCAGAGGTAACATGACCAATCAACCTTACTCTACAGCTAATTTGCATGCAATAATTTCATTGTTTGTACAGGCAGTCCCCGGGTTACGTACAAGATAGGGACTGTAGGTTTGTTCTTAAGTTGAATCTGTATGTAAGTCGGAACTGGCTCCAGATTCAGCCGCTGCTGAAACTGACCGCCAGTTCTGACTTAACATACAGATTCAACTTAAGAACCCCAAGTCAGCTGCTGCTGAAACTGATCAGCCACT